TGTGTGTGTGAGCGTGTGTGTGTGTGTGTGTGCGTGTGTGTTTGGGCGTGTGGGTGTGAGATTGACCTCGTGTAATTATTCTGTCTGAAAATACTGTCTGACGTAACTTACAAGAATATTAAATAAGAGAGAGTAAAGGTTTTATTTGACTCTTACGGCTTGGAAATTCTGCGTGCTATCGAGCGAGAGCAAAAACTAGAAATTCTGCTGATTATTTCAAGGTCAACCATCTGGTTATATTTCCCGCGAAAATGTGCCCGATTGGTTGCCTACTATGACCTACTCGTTAGGCAAAGTGACGTCATTGTTAAACCAAAACATTGCAAGCAAGTGCCCATCAGCTGGGAAAGGCTCTAGTAACGACGGGTTTGATTGGTTAGTGTCATCTGTTTCCGGATCAAGTCTTGTTCTTTCTTTAGTTTTGTTTTCGATCGTCACATAAATAAGAAAAAAGGAATGCGTAATATGAAATAGAAGTTTGATTTAAGTTTTTATTCCTAAAATGCAGAGAAAAGCAATAGGTACTTTAGCTGTCCAGTATCTCTTCATAGCTTCGAAACTACGTCATGAACAAACAACCAATGAAATGCCTGCTTAGAGAATACCTTAGGCTTTATAGTTTTATGTTATTATTTTCTTTTTGTTCCCTACCATTGCAGGACCAAAATAAGTGGAAATATTTCCGTTTACATGGCGTAGAAACATGAATAACCACAACCACAACAATCACTTTGGAAACCACGCGAAGAGTAAATCAGAGGTAAGACCTGTTTAATGTTGTTTTGATTTGTAAATTGATTGTCGTGTTAACTGGTCATTGTTTACAAAGAAGGCCTCCTTTTGCGTGACTGGTTCCTCGAGAAGAAAGAGCCCGTAATACGAGTCGGCCTGGGCCGAAAAGGCGTGTTTTCAGACGGATTGTGTTGGATGTTAGGTTCAAGAATTTAGCTGTTTACTACTGCAGATTTGTAGAACGTTATTCTTTTTTTTTATAGCTTATGAATACTGTGATATGTTATGGTTTCTTGTTCCTGGTTAGACGACACTTTAGAGTTTAGCTTCACTCTCACTGGTTATCTTGCAAGTAGGATTGGCATTTGCGTGGCACAGCAAGACAATGGTAAGGCTTCTTTCGTATCTGAACAAAGACTTAGGCCTAGGTTAGGCCTGGTCACAGTCACACTACAGGCTGGCCTTTGTGTCTCCATACAAGCAAAAGAGGCAGCCTTCTGTAGCTGGACATGGGATTAGCCTATTGTTATGGCATACAAGGACAAGAGAACCCAAGACCAAGTCTGCTCTTGATTCTTTATTGAATATTGAAGATGAAATTGAAAGACTGCAATACTACAATCATAATGACTCGACAGGATCTTGATAATTCTTGAAGTAGAGTAGACTAGCGTCCTTTCTCAAAATATTTGTTATCAAACTTGCGTGAAAAAGATCCTTTTTAATAATAGTTTTCTTGATCTGTTGTGGAACAAGCCATGTGGATTTATGGCCGGCTCTATTTCTCCGTACGTTCGGGAAAATAAACTTGAAACTCTGTTTCTCCGAACGGTTTCCGTTCTCGAGATTTGTTGATAACTAGTGAATGGAGTGGCCAGTGTACCTGAGTGTGTGTGTGTGTGTAAGGCGTAAGGTGTGAATGGGGGG